GGGGGGGGGGGGGGGGGGGGGGGGGGGGGGGGGGGGGGGGGGGGGGAGAGAAGAAGCCTGCTGAAGAGGGAGTCCCACCAGGGTGTAAGGAGAGGTGGGTGTCGGCAGGGGTACAAAAGCCGCGACTGGAGCAACGCCGCAACATACAACGAAGTTCCTGGTGCACAGTCGACCGCAACACATAGGGTCGATGGGATAGAGGGAAACTAGTGGAAGATCCATGTACCATCTATCCATCGTCCACCGGCACACGCGTGTCCGAAGTCCACGGTGGAGCCCACAGAGAAAAAACGTAGTACCCCAGAGTTTCTCTCGAACCCGTCGGGGGCCACGACCAAGGCCTTGAGAACGCACCCTTCTTGGGAACCCGAAACAAATATGAACGGTCTCCCCGCAAAACTGCGGAGATTGTCGTCGGAGTGCTACTACACGAACAAGCTGATTGCGAGGTGTATCATGATTCAAAAGCAAGGAGCCCCAACTGTGTGGGAGACAGGTAGGATATGGTTTGGACCAGTAGCGACAAGGGATCGTACAGGTCGCAACGCTGCAGAACATGAAAGCAACGATAAAAGCCACCGCAGCAGCACCAACGTGGGACGTACTTCGTAGTATATACGACGCAGTCCTGTTGCCCCAACGAACTCACGTGGTTCCACGGCGCCTGTACCGCGAAGCCGAAGAACAACCAGCGCAGCGTCCGCGCGATGTCCAATTGCTGCTGTACCTCTCCGTCGTCCTGGCCCTTCGTGTCGAACCGCTGAGCCACGGCGTCGGCGGCGGGGAAGATGCACCCCGCCGTGATGGACTGGCGACGAATAAACGGGTTTCGCAGACGTTTACAGAAAGGAAGAGAGGGTACCACGTTCATTGCAGGGAAACGTGCAACCCCGCCGTTTAACCGCCAAAAGGATGGCTTAAGATGCCCCCCCCTCCCCCGCCCGGCCCTGTAAAACAAGCCAATTCACTTCGTGAACTCGGCAACCAGGTTCCCGTTTTTTTTTTTTCCTCTTTTTTTTGTTGGCGGTAACCATAATGGTGGTCGAGTAGATCATGTTGTGCGGGGTGGAGAACCCTCACTCCGCGCAAGGGGGAAGATCGCAACACGTTGTGTTAAAATAGTAAAGCACCCTCGAGGCAGTTACACAGTGCTTACAACTGTTTCTGGAAGTAAAGCACCAAAAAATAAATTAAGTCATGNAATTCACTTCGTGAACTCGGCAACCAGGTTCCCGTTTTTTTTTTTTCCTCTANTAAATTAAGTCATGCGCAGCTGTCATCCGTATGCAAGGAAGTGAGCACAAGATGCTGATCACCCTTGGCACGATGCAGCCCACCCTTCATGCGACTCGCCGAATATTACACGGCGCTTCGCGCTTGGTGATGTGAGAGCCTGGTCCGGTGAGAACCCGGCGAACTCCGTCCGGCTTTGTAGGGATGCGAGTTCAATGGTCTAACGACGGCATGCACGACTATAAGTGCCCCCCCCCCCCCCCCCGGCCCCCTCCACCAGAATAATATCTACGAAAGAAATGGTGCCAACATCGAACGTGTCGTGTATAGAAAACAAGCCCTTACAGAGAATCCGCTCGAGCTGTGCCATTCGGCATTTCCGGTAAGGAATCGCCAACCCCTCCCCCTCACGGTGGAAATGGGCTTCGAATTCGGCACTGTCGTCATGTACGTCCTCCTCCACGGGTTGGTCTATGCTCGTGTGCACCAGTTGTGAGGGATGCGCGGTGCGTAAGGATATATTCTGGCGAAAACCGAGCAAGCTTGCATCGTAGGGTTAAACGAAACATTTTTTGAGACAGAGCAAGGTACGGTTGTGTTCCGACACCACCTACCCGCTTCCTTCTTCCCTCGCCCTCTCTTTTTTGCACACCGCACCGGCAAGTATACGCCTGCGCCACCCAGACACGATTCCGCAGACGCGTGCTAAGGATCGCCCAAACGACCGAATGCCTTCACGAACAATTTTGGGCATACCGCGTGCTAGCAAAAGTAGCCTTCGCTGACGCTATGGATTTATTGCTAGTCTATCTCAGAGTCTTTTCTCAGATAGAGATGGAGTCGTTGGGTCATACAGTATTAGAGAAAAATAAAGAAGAAAACCGTTCGCACTCGTTACCCTCGCCATGTAGTCTATGTGCCGTGTCGGGGCGTGTATTTTCCCATGTCTGTCGTTCGAAAAAAACGAGCGTTTTCCCATTCCACGACGCGGTGATAACCGGCGTCTAGCGAACAACGAGAACAGGCTAAAGACCGCTGGGTCTACACTCAGGCAGAGTACAGGGTGGATTCGTGCGTTGGACGCGGGGGACAAAGACGAGTACTGTATGGACAGCGAGGGACAAGGACTACATCAGCAGTACAAGTAGCAACAGCAGACGACGACATGTCGCGGGTCGCACTCTTGGCAAACCCAGAGAGCTGCGAGAAGCACAGTTTGCGCCGACCACGTTCGTGTTATTCGCACTGATCGGGATCCTCGCTCGTATTGACGTACTTCAATATCCCAGGGAAATCCAAGCGCTACTTGGCAAGGACAAAACTCCTCTAGCATACACACCCTGGTTCTATAGAGTGCAACAGACCCGGACAGGATCGGAGAAGCCGCAGACAAGGCGGGTCGTTTGGCTATGCGCATACCAGTCAGCTCTCCGCGTCAGACAACCTCTGACTACATATTGGCAGCAGAAATGGGGGGAAGAGCAATCGCCTGACCTTGGTCAACAGCGGGGCTGTCTCGAGAGCATGGAGGTATGAGTCCCACAGCTCGGTAGGAGCGGCCGCCATCCTTGTCACGCCACTTCGCCGGATGCTGCGATTGTCATGTTTGTGCTGCTTCATCCCCACAGGTGACAGCAGTGCAGACCGAAGCGGCGAGCAAACGAATCCGGAGCACCGCTGACAGGACCAACATGCCAACAGAGTGCAGGCCGTAATAAATCTTCTGATGAGCAACATGGTGCAGCCGAGGGACGGGGCGAGATGGCAAGACCAAGAGCAGTCGCGGAGCATGTCGCGAACGAGGCGCAACTGGCGGAACTGTCAGGTTTTGATTCGATTGGCGGCGCATCAGCTGCGGAGCCCCGGATAAGCTAATGGTAAGCTGCTCCTTCTCCTCGCTGCACTCTCGCTCTTGTCTAGGTCGTTCTCCATTCCTACGACTCACTGATCCACTCTACATTAAACCCATGCTCAGCACATATTGCACAGCACTGATGCGGGGCCGACATGTCTAGAGTCGAAGTTGAAAGGAATGCAAACCTTATGTGACACAACATGTCACCCCCCCTGGACAGATTTGCAAAGCTTGATTACTCCACGACGAAGAGGAAGTATATACCAAACGATACGTCTTCGGAAAGCTCTGGATGAGGTGGTTCCACTGCCTCCATTTTTCGGCACCACCTCCCTCCTCTGCTGTGGAACAATCGAGCTTCGCTAGGTCTAGGGGGTGTGATATCTTACGTCACCTATGGCAACGTTTTGCTGCCGGTTGGTCGTTTCTCAATTTTCTGTCGGTGAAGCATGTGTACGTGGTCGAGCCAAACCTGTTGGATGGGGACCACCTCGACAAACGGTACATGTGTGGTAGCCTCGAACCCCATGACAACCTAGCCTTGATGCTGTGGAACAAAAACATAAAAGCGGAGGCTACTAAACACAATCCTCCAAAAATACCTCCCGTCTTTCAGACACCAACCAAGCCTGCGTGCCCAGTTGGTGTTCTATTAATGTGTTTCTTTTTGACAAAGAGGCGGCGAGCAGGACGGTCTTGGCTTGATTGGCGACACGGTTACCATCACCCACTGGGGCTTGCGACAAACAGTTGAACCCTAAACTAAAGGCTTCCGCGAGCATCTTGCTTGCCGATCCCCATCTCGAAGCAGTACTACAGACTATTGGGTCTCCCTTGGTTGTAAAAAAGTGGCATACATGTACTTCAAACAAACAGTCTACACATGTTCAAACAACCCGATCCCCTCTGGCACGCCCAAAATCAAAGAGTGCTACAATCGTTTCACAGATAGACATGCAGCTTGTGCTGCCACACAGTACGATGCCGTGTGCACTTCAGGAGCCGCCTTGGAACAGTTGCGTGCACCCTTTCGCCGACGCAAACTTCGCGAACCATAACTGTTGCAACTACAAATAGTCTAACTTAGGCAGGAGCGACACACGTGTCAATAAACACAAACACCAGACCCCAATCCAGCATGCTGCCTGAGGTGGATATCTAGAGAATCTTTGGGAGGAAAGTGATGAGGTCAGACCCTCGCTCGACGCAGGTGCGGTAGACCTCCATGATCTCCTCGTCGTCCTTGAGCCCTTCCTTCTCCTTCATGCCCCTGCTGGCAATGCCATCCAGCTTGTCCACCGACGTGATCAAAGCCTTGTAAACGGACGTTGCCTGTGTCAACATTTATCGCGGTCGAAAGGACATATATAGAGAGGGCCACAAGTTGCAAGAATCAATAAGCGAGGAGCACAGAGCTTGGAGAAGATGACATGACGACCGTGCGACTAGGACCCCTCTCCCCACCCTACTCCCCTGCTCTGTGTATCACACACCTTCTCTTCTGCGTCTTTGTTATCAATGCCGATGATGACTTTCCTGGCGCTGGATCTGAGGTTGGCGATAGGAGGGTTGCGCATGGCGAGGCGAAGCCCCTTGTAGTCTTTCTCCCCAATGAAGACGTCGAGAGTCTTGAGGCCGGCTGTTGCTTCGGACAGCAGGGCCAGGTTTTCTTTCACCTGGGTCAAGAGATGACACGACGAGCATGTGGTAGGAAGGTAAAAGTTCAAGAACCGTGTGTTGGTCCGGGGAGAGGTACGTAATGGAAAGGAGGAGGAACTGTGCAATGTATCCAATAGTTGATTCGCTTTTCTCCGATACGATGTTTGGCGGCTTTGAGGTAAGCTATTGGCAAGGTCAAGTCCCCCCTCGACGTTTGCCCTCGAGTGTATGTGTGCGTGCGTGTATAATGACTGGTAAAGATTAGTGGGTTGTTGTGTGGAAGCAAGTTTCGCGCGAGCAAAACTTGGGTGGGTAAAAGGGTGTGCGGTGTTAGCGGTGCAGGCCGGTGGGGGTGGCACACCCAACCGCGCGATGAAAGAGTCCCGCATGCGGGAATTGGAAGCAGCCACAGCCCCAGCCACAGCAGCAGCTAGCAGGCACGGTAACTATCTACAATACGTGCGATATTTTTAAGAGGATAAAACTTGTAAGGACCGTACCTCGCGGCTACAGCCATCGGACACAACAGAGACCAACCGCAGGACGCGAAACTAGTATCTGCAAGTTTGTTGGTCAACGAAGGGGTGTTCTGTCGGAATGTCTGCGTCGCCTCGCTGACAGCCATGTCCGTTCTCGGCGTTTCATAGATTGCTACAACATCGGGAGGGAGCGACTCCCTCTACGACGCTGGACGGGAGAGGGGTCGCACCTTAGACAACACAAGATAACACACCCCCTGGACCGATTGCCACAGCTCGATTACGCAACGGCGAAGATGATGCGTGCGCGAAACGACATATTTCAGAAAGCTCTCGACGAGACAGCTTCAACGCTGCCGTTTTCGGCGCTGCGACTCTTTCTGCTGTTGAGAAATCGAGCTTTGGAAATCGGTCCAGGGGGAGGGTTGTCTTGTGTCGTCTGCTGTATAAGACGCATCCTAAGATTTACGCCTTTGTCGCACCCCCAGGTTTCGTCGTCTGTGGCAGGCGGAATTCCCGAACGACTTCGTACAGGTGCGATTAGCATATCCGCGAGCTACTGCTGTGTGTGTGTGAGACACATCCACTCTTCATTGTTAATATAATTTCTGTGTTCGAACTGCTTGTTGTACAAACGTAGTTGATACTTCGCCGATGTTCTGAGAGTTCATGCCCTACGATACTCATAAATACGCAAGCTTGCTATCATGTAAAAAGCAGGAGGGTGAGTTGGATCCTCCGCTGGTTACTCTCCAGGGGAGACGTTGTTTTACGGACTACCCCAATACGTAGCTTGGTCTGCACAAAAACCCACCGTGACAAACGTATTGCGTAAGATAGCACACCCCCTTGGGGGCGACTATCCAAGTTCGAGCTTCAACAATATCCGTGGTACCATAAAACCCTATTCATCGGGGCGAAGCTTCGAACGAAGACTTATCATCGTTGCGTTGCTCTGTTCGTTCTAGACTAAACGCCTCTGCCGCTGAATAGATCGAGTTTGGCTTCGACTCATAGTGGGGCATTTCTTTCGGATTAGATTTGTTCATGTACACGCGGCCAAAGTGCAAATTTGCATGTAAACTTACACGCGGTACAGCGTCCATTAGTCTTTATGTAGGAAACAGAGATTTTTCGTGTGGTCAGATACAGCAGTAGCTGGACAACTCTCAACCTCACCGCTGCTTCCCGTCCCTTCTTCTCCACCTCCCCACGCAGCTCGGCGAACTGTTGCACCTCGTCCTTCATCTCTTCCTCGGCCAACGCTCGGGCCGATCCTCCGATCAGCACCCCTGCCGCAGCTAGGGCTTGGGACCCTGCGACTGTGCGTCGAATAGCCTCGGCCCGCGTCAGCCCTGCCCCTTCTCCTGCTCCCCCGACTGGTGATGATGTAGCAGCCATAGCTGTCGTTGCTACTTCTGCTCGGCTCGAGCATGATGCGACGTGCACGAACGATTCCGCTTTGCCTGCCAGGAACACAACGACAACCAACATGATCTTGGTCGCGGACATGCTTACCGTCATCATGTCGTCTCGAACGGCGTGCACGTTTCCCTGCTCTGCCCTCTCGTGCGTAGTTGATGGCAAACTCAAGGCGAGAAGAACAACGGTGTTTTCTGCGTCCGTGTCAGCTGCTGTGCGCCCGTGCCGCGGCAGTGCGGTCCTACCGTTGTTGTGAGCACCTGTTAGGTCGTGTTGCCGACCGAGTCAGTTGCGGTGTGACTTGGTGGTGGCATGCGGCCAAACGGGTTCTAGCGGCATTATTCTCGGGCATCTTGCTCCTGCAGCCCGGGTTGCTGTGGCTCTGCTCCCCGTGGGGTCGGCACATGTCTGCAAGTCTGCTGCTCCTCCTTGCTCCCTGGGTGGTTGGGTGGGGGAACCACACGCACCCGCAACCGAGAAGGAGATGGCGACTTACTCTTCCAGCCACGACGGGCAGCGGTTTATACGTCTGTTCGGCTATGTGCTGGCAGAGTTCCCCCCGGCGACTCGACAGAGGTTGGACCTCTCTCCCTGTTCTCCGCTGTTTGATGCCAGCAACAACAACCTCAGCATCATTAACAGCGGGAGATGTTCAGCTGCTGTAGCTATTGATACAGAGACAACAGCTAGGCTTCGGGGTGAGTGCTCCTCTCGAGGCGTGCCGCTCGAGAGCGCTCTTTTGGCGAGCCTGTACCTGGCTGCTGCAAGAGCCGTCGGTGAGGAGGGCAAATTCCCTCGTGTTGCTTCGGAAGGAAACGGGGTTCATGAAGGCAACATCCCCCGACGAACCAACGACGCCGTCCGGCTGCAAAGAGCTTTGGTTTTGGGTGTTGTCTCCGTCGTGATGGCCCTCCTTTCGGGCTCGGTGGATGGGAAGATCTTGCGCTACTTCTGCTCCTTCTACGCCGTCTTTGCAGGCAAGTTGTGCGCTGCAGACTGCACACGAGCTGCATCCTTAGACTATACTAGCCTGTGCAGTGTACTCTATTTACGTACACGTGTAGGCAAGCTACATGCATGGACGCAGTTGCACTCGTTGGCACAAGGACTGCCCGCACTCCTGGTCATCATGCCTTCTGGCAGTAATTAACAGCAGTGTAGCTTTTGAACAGTAACACCAGTAGCGTGCGTGGCAGGCCCAACAGTTCAACAACAGTGACAGGCTCTTACGGGATAATCATAACGGGGGATAGCCTGTGTGCATACCGGAATGGTTTGTGTTGGATAGGGTAAATCGGCACCTTGGCGGGAAACCTCAGACGAGAAACTTGTTCCAATACTTTTTTCTCATCTCATGCACAAGCCCGCGGTGTTCTGCGGGCGATGCCAAACACAACACCTAGCACACCTTGGATGACCCAGCCACCTGCGTACTTCGTACGTACAACACTAAGAAGCTTCGTCTCGCTTCATGTGTATTCCTTGGTGCAACATCCTCGTGGATAAATACCGTGTCCATTGCACCGCTTCAAGTATCTGTACCTTCCCCACTGTGTGTGACTTTACCAGAACGCCAACACTCCAAAATCCAAGCAACCACGACAGCTGAGTTCTACATAGTAGCACCCATTCCCTCTACATAAAACCAACACGAAGAAGCCCCACTGCAACCCAGATCCAACCACTTACTTTGTCTCCAAGTGCAGTCAAAGGCGAGTAGATGTCGTTGACGACGGCGTGCATCAGACCACCACCGATGTCAGCGCTTTGGGATCACGTCTTCGGTTCCGAAGGTGAGGACATCCGCGGAGAAACCTAGGCAGCCCCTGAACATTGGATTTGCAGCCGCACGAAAGTGATCGTGATTTCCACTACGAAGCAAATCGTCGTACCCGCGTCGTGTATGTGGCTTGGGCTGGCCGCAGCGTGAAACAGGGTTTTGTATCCGAGCATGGTACATGCAAGCGTGATTAACAGCAGGAAAAAACGTTATGTGGAGGTGCATCGTTTTAGATTTTTTTTTTTCTGTCTCGGATGGCTAAATAGAGCCATCTGTACTGTGTACCCGAGGTCGGGAAGTCGACCAGGGGTTGCAGGTATGACGTCCGAGATTCTCTTAAATCGCGGTTGCATCCGTCAAGCAATGTGCAATGTTTCTCCTCTGAAGTCAGGCCTCGCGCCAGCAAGCGAACCCTTGCTCAGAACCTAACAACTCGTCGAACAACAGGTCGTGTGGTCAACCATGGCTTGGGAGAGATGTCGACTTGAGTTTGTTTTGGTGCGGCAGCTTCGTCAGAGGCCGAAAACCTTGTTGATTTGAGAGTGGCATTATTGGGGGAGGTCGGAGGGGCCCCGCGCATCATGTCCATCATACACACATCATCCACGTATCCTCCGAAGGACTGGAGATCAGTACTCTGCCGAGCACCCCCAAACAGAGTTCTCTACCTGATAGCATGCGAAGTATCGGTATCCGGATTAGCTTCCCCACCCCTCCCCAGGAAATCGGTATGATCATCATCGTGCCGAGGTGAAATGGAAGAATCACGCACGAGTTGTCTGAGGAGATCTGCTTTTTTGCAAGCTGTTTCAAGAAAGTTGTTCGTGTATGGATGCAGTGGAGGGGGTGCAAGTGCTGCAGTGTGTAAGCAGCGGTTGGGAAGGACTTCCACTGATACGCCACCTTGAGAGGCCCGAGGGTATGCTAATGATCAGTGGAGTTCGTTTCAGCAGCTTTTGGAGAATGAGAATACTGCGACAATTTTGCAAACATGTGATTGGAGTGAGGTGACGAACCTCTCGCACAGTTCGGGGCCGCTTGATGACGTTCTCGCTCATCCGCTCGTAGCTCGCGGTCAAGGCCTAGCCCTGGACCATACGCCAGCCACCGACAAGGGGGGTCCAGACGAGGATAGACAGAACCGCGAACACCAGCACCTTTCGCCGCGGGGATATTGCCCAAAAGCCCTAGGTGAATGACGCCCCAGCCCGTAGACGTGAACCGAGGACCCCCTTCTGGTGAGGGGTGCCACACGAAGAGCCGTTGAACTGCCGTACATACCTGAGCGAAATATACCCGCACGTATGGTGACTTGTGCGTTCGCGTCTCTGCATCATGCGGATGACACAGCAGTACCTGTGAAGCAGCCCGCACCGAACACCATGATCGGGTGGCACGTTCTGTGTACCTGGCGCGGGTGTTGGTAGGGTTACGACTTGTGTTTGTTTTCGGTGGGCGGGCTGATGGTTTTGGACAGGTGTGGACGTGCGCAACACTGCGATGCCGCGTTTCCCCACTGGGGTTGTTAAATTTTTCATGCCCATCTTCACGGGACCTCATGCGCAGCCCAGACTCTCGGGTACAGAGGTTGTTGACCACGGGGGGGTAATGACCAGCGTGGGCGTTTTACGATAGTTGCCTTTGCCTCGATGAGGGTTGGTGATAAGCACCGTAACCTGCGTGATGCAGAAATTATTGTCGTCGCTTGGGGTTGCATGCACCAGTGTACCATCGGGCTGCCATTCATGACGAAATCTGATACCCAAAGTCAAGCCTGTAACAGCAGTCGGTTGCGTCTTTGCTGCGAACTGTTCTCGCGTCCGAGAATAGTTTTGATTGTCGCATGCTTGTCTTCTCTGCAGGACAAGCCCAAGCGCAATGGTTGACGTGAATGCCGCTTTGGATCCCTTCCAATAAGTGCAATCCCAAGTTCTACGCCCATTGTCTCTTTCTATGTGCTGGGTTTGATGTTACGCTGCTGGTAGGCGCCTGGGCCGTCAACGTCCTCACCGTGGAAGCACCGGGTTTCATGTTCGTCATGGCCACCTCCGCTGACATCAAGGTAACGGTACAGACTCGCCAGAACGGAGCAGAGAGCGGCGCACCTGCGCAGGTCAACAGCAATCTCATATTTCTCTTCTATCGCTGCTGTGGTTGGCGATTTTTTGATCCCGTCTGCAGCCCCGTCGTGTGCATCGAAGGCAAAGATACGTGCGTGGCGGCTCGCGCGGACCTATCACAAGAAGCTCCTGTCGACCCGTCGCTACGAACGTCAGTCGTGCCGGTACTAGCGACTCGCTTCGGTTTGCCCTTTTCGCCGGTCAGTCTATGCCCGACGATTACTCATTTGTAGATGTGTCTTGATTGCTTCCAGCTGTCCTCCCATGGCCTTCCTGCCCTCCCCCCACCCCCCCCAAACGACACGTGGCTCGCATTCCGCCGCTCCAACTGCCAAGGGTGGAGGAGGCGCCCGGGCCCCCGCTGGTAGTAGATGTGGGACAACCTATAAGCCCGTCAGGCTTGCGGTAGACTCTCGGCGTGGCCTGTGGGAGATGGCGGAGAGGCACAAGCGCGGGGCACTTGGTATGGCCCTGTCGGAGAAGTCTTTTTCCCGGTTCAAGAGTTGCGCGCGCGGTGCGAGGCGTGCGTGGCGGTGGTGTTCGCGACGGTGGGAGCGAAGAAGAAGAGCGAGTGCAAGTTTGGCGTCGGCCGCGCAGGAGACGGTGCGTGCACCGCAACCATCCCCATGCAGTTGACTGCTCCACTAGCTTTCTACGATACCCGCGGGTAAAGGAGCACCCTGTCGCAGACGCAGGGGTTCGGACGCTTTTTTTTGTTTCGTTCTTGGGGATATGCATTGTATCGGCTTCGTTTTAGCACGAGGCGGTGGGGAATGATAGATGGGGGGATTTTGTTGTGCGACGGGGCAGTTAGCCGATCGTGAGCCGTGTTCGCGGATGTTGGTGGTCTATGTGGTGTGGGTGTTGACTTCGAAGCTCTGACATGCTTGGCACGCCAAACTCAAGAAAAGCCCGTCACTGCCTGATTCGCTCCGCTCGCTCATGTCCTTTACTTCTCTTTCGTCGATGTCAAAGGGTATACAACAAGGTGGTCCGCCCCACTTCCAGCTATTTGGCTGTATCGAAATGGATGGACGCGTGGATGACATGGACTTGGCAGCGCTGCTTGCTTCTCTCGACTCGAGGTACACCCTGGTATATAGAACCGCGAGAGGACGTCCCATGTCATCGTCAAACGGCGGCGGCAGCAACGGTGGCATTAGCGGCAGTGGGACGTTTCAACAGACCGCGACAACGACTACGGCGGTGGCGCCTGCATCCATAGCACAGGAGGGTCTGGAGCTCACCTTCGTCGAGCGACCAAGCGTTTGGTCCGGTCGTTCGGCGAATGATGGCAATAGCGCAGACATGGCAGGTTGGCTCTTGAAGGAAGCCACTGCGATTTTAGTCGGTGAAGTGGCCCCACCCCCGGCATAAGCGACGAAGTGCGCGCGATCAGTTTGGTGTCGGTTCTTGACGCACATTCGTGCTTTATTCAGGAAAGGGACGTGTGGGTGTGAAGCGCTGGCCCACATCATCTTGAGGTTAAGCGTGCACCGGCATGCGCGTATGTATGTCTATGGCGAGGGAGGCGGAATCATCTGTTTTCGCTGTATGGTTTCCCTAACGATCTTTGTGCGTTTGTGTCGAGGTGTAACGGTGGGATTATGTCGCCGTGTTCTTTTGTCGAAGGGCGCTCTAATTAGACGAAATGGGTGCACCCGTCCTTGTTGTTCGGGGGTAGATGACATGTGGCTGCGTCGGTGGTGATGGTTGACGGATGGCCGCAGAGAAGATGTTAGGTTGTTCTAGCTGCTTCAGTTGCGTGCGTAACCCTTTTTGTACTTGGAGCGCTTTTTTGTTCTTTTTCTAGGGAGGGGCGCGAACATGTCTCAAGCGCGTAGGACTTAATCAACGGTTGTGTAGTGTTAACTAGTTGACGCAACATGTTAAACCCACAAGGTCGACAAGAAGTTGTCAGGACTGTGGGAGCGAAAAAACCGAGTCACGCCTGGTCTGATGTACTTCGCAAAGACAAGGAAGGAAGAAAACGTTTGATTGCGCGAGCATCGACCAACACGTGTCACGTCGTACCAGGGATTTCCATTTGGAGTTATGGCCTATTCTAAATGATCTTCGAGGACGGGGCACCAGCGGCGTGAAATTGAGTCGTACGCGGGATGGGCCTTGGCGGCCCACGGTCGGGATGTAGGGCATGCATGCATACGCCCGAGCCATTGCCCACTTTTACGCAGCAAAGTCATCATCATGACCGCGAGTTGGGTTGAGAGAACAAATTATACGACACCACGCCACCAGAAAACTGCGTGCCGCCGTTCCCATTCTCTCTTTTGCAGGTGTGCGTAATTCTTGGCGTAAGTAAGGCGTAACTTTTGCGCGCAGGCAAGGAAATGCGCATTTTTCCCGCTCGCTCTAGACTATTGTTACAGGTGCATGCGTAATGCTTCGAGCGCAAGTGTACCACGTCTTGTTATGTTTATCAAGAAGGCTAGTATAATGGCCCGAACTTATCTCACCATCCAAAAGCTTGTAGGACTTAATTACACGGTGTGAAATGAGCGTGAATTGGTTAAGGCAACCTATCAAACATGCCCCGCGGGAGGTGAAGGCGCACGACAAGAACTTGATTGTCCCTACCATGGGAATGAAAAAACCGCGTCGCGCATCTATTTTTAATAGTTGTAGATGCATACGCACAGGCTCAAGAAGCACATATTTGATTGCGTTTAGGTCGAGCAACACACGTTGCCTAGCACCAGTGACTTCAATTGGAGTTTTAGCTTTTGGGGGAATGACCACACCAGCGATGTGAGAATTCGTTCGTATGCGGGATGAGACTTGGCGGCCCAAGGTTGGGGTCGGGATACAGAGCACACGCCGGAGCTATTCATTGATTGCCCTTTTATTGAGATCAAATATCGCGATCAAACCGCTTCTTCAAACGATCAAATCGGTAGAGGAAAATACCACAGAATTGTTCTGTAGGGTAAAACAGAGGGTAATTACCCCCGGTATAGATCTGTGGGTACCCTACAGAACCTAACCTTGTAAAATACTGCCGTCTGTTTTCCCTTCTGGACTTCCAGACTACATAGATTCAACAGCAGTATTGTCGACAAATAGTGTTGCAGTGTACAACACCAACGTCACAGGTCGCACACATACGTTGATTTTGTGTGTTGATCGAGAAGAGTGCAGCATCTGGCCAACACAACGCACGAGTCACACGAATACACATTAGTCTACATCAGTAGTAGCACAAAGACATACATCTGGCAATGAGTTTTCATACACAAAACACACAACCTCCCCCGAGAAAGGGGGAATCTCCGATTTATTCTGCATACCGCACCTCGCAGCAGTATCGAACCGTTGGAAAGCTGTGTCCATCATCTTTGCATCATGAACGTCAAGGGCCCACGTGGTGCGCTTGTTCACGGAGACCGGGTATGCATCGTGAGTCTAAGGAAAACAGTGGAACCAGGCACCCACAACAGAGACCGCGAAGGCCAGGACGAGCCTAGAGACGACGGACAGGCGCCATCGACAGGCTGCTTCGACACCAGACAGCAATGGAGATATTGTGTAGGTAAACGATATGAAATATCCGCGTTGGCACGTCTGCACGTCGGTACCGTTCATCCTGGATCTTTGAAACGCACGGCGGAGGTCTGGCGTGGTATCTTGCAAGAAATCTTGGACGCAGCTTGTTGGGGGAATTAGGCATGGGGCACGACAGCACAAGCACCATCTGCATTCGACCCCTCTCAGGGCATCTCCGAAAGCGTCCGCGGAGCACTTCGAGGAGGCAAGTGGTGCCAGATGGCTGAGCGGAAGACCCAGGATCAAGCTAACCGGCGCGTGGTGCCGCTCGGTAGTGACGGCGAGGCAGCGGAGGCAAGGACAACTACCGGCCGCCGTAGCAGCGACAAGCTCCGCATCAAATCGCACAACCTTGGTCGGGAGAGGCAAGCAAGGCGTCGTGTAACGCCGCTCGGGGAAGACGAGTCCGAGGAAGCTCGAGAAAGGGGGGTGCCGGTTCCCGCGGTAGGACACCCACGCGAGGAACCCCCCCATCCCGGAGAGGTGAGTATGGTGCAGAGGTTGTATTCAGACAAGACTGAAATCCATCACCATGTGCGGGGATGCGGCAAAACTTCCTCTTTCTAAGTAGACAGTTGATTGCTTCACGCATTTGCTCTGTGGTGGTTTGATGGACCTTGCGCGTGTCGCTCAAGACGGGTGGAGTCCGCACATTTTTTTCACTTGCGACTGCTGCTGCTGCGTAGACTTACTGTACAATAGACCTCGCCGTATTGCCCGTCCTCCATGTATACAGCACAGCAATGTGCTACGAAGATACCAGTCAGTGTGCAGCACTGCCTCTCAAGTTCTCTCTCACACACTGTCACATCTTTCTCTTACGCCCATGACCATTGTTCCCGTTCGCCGGCCATGCGGGTGTGTGCCCCATACCCAAGCACATGCTTTGCGGCTTCACGAGGACCAAACATGAGCTTTGGATCCAAACAGCGATCAAACGCGAACGAAGAAAACATTGGGGATGGCACATACCTTAGCGAACGCCGTGGCGGACATGGTAAATCGATAAAAGGGTAATCGGTGCAGATGTTTGCACAGCAAGAAGCCGCAGTGTGGAACGAACAGGTGCATGCATGTTGTTTTATAGATGAAAAGATGAAAAGATGACAAGTGCCGCTGGCAAAATAGCAAGACACCCGGGGTATGCTTTGCTGCTCATGCGAGTGTTGTCAAGGAACACAGTGCGCGCAACATCTACGGCCGTGGCTGGCCAGCCCTCTCTCAGCAGCCGAACATCAGAAACCGTCCCGTTGTTCCAGGTAACGACAGAACGACAGCCGAGAATCGCCTCGGCTAGAGCATCCAGCTCGGCTTTGGACATTCTCTAGAGAAGCTAAACTGCTGTTGGTGTGAAAGAACGAATTTCGACAAATATCCGGAAGGTCCGTCCGCTTGCCGAAGAGAAAATAGCTGTCACGGGACGCACATCGAGCACAGCGGGAGCATTAGACTGTAGAATTCTTGGCCAACCGAGCGTCCCATTCGTATCACACACGGGTCACGGGGGGAGGGATTTTGACGCCACCGGTGGGGGTAGAGTGTACAACACCTATTGCTGCAACTCATGTGGAAGAGTCAAAAATCGAAGAAGGCACCCAAAGTACAACCAGATCGGCGCAACACACCCGAGGAAGAGATGTACGCTCCGATCTACGAGCAGCTGCTTGCTACATGCGCCCGATGCTGAAAATAGCCAAGAAAATGGAACTTTGTTGGTAGACGGAGCGCACAGCGTTGCCATGTAGATGATGTTAGAGCGTCCAAACCGTGCCCATCTCTAGATCTAGCACGGGGCGCCCCAAAACGAAGAACGAAAGTAGATGCTTGCAGGGGTTCCGCATGGTGGTGTTCGGGAACGGGTAGCTTCTGTGTGTGTATTTATTGTTCAACAACAACGCGGCTGCGCGGAGTCCGGTAATTTGAGTCCGGAGGAATTCCCACACAGGGTGCGAGTCACGCGATGGACATATTTCCGCCTGATTTTCGTATTTCACGGCCCTCTGTTCGACCGCACAACCAGTGCATCCGCTTTGTGGAGTATGGTTTTGGAATGAAAAAACGGTTCACGGGAGAGTTTCGAACCAGCACGGTGACCGTTCTCAATTCTCAGCAACAGGAACGGAATTGTATTTCAATGGGGGGGCTATCTGAGCGAGTTGTTACATTCACGGATTGGCCTTGATTGGCCGGTAAACAAAGAATAGCGCCTTGCAACGAAATATTTCTGTTTTTGTTTTTTCCGGGGCCCATCTCTACTGCTGTGACACTAGACTATTGTACGACAATATACCGTGTGCGTGAAGAATTGCAATGTACTACCCCCAACACCTGTAGGGCACCGACAGGGTGGTTGAATATCGCCTACACGATGTATATGCCACAAAGCCACAAAACAGACCAAGTTTTGAAAGATTCCGGAGGCGTTTCCTTGTTCGGTTACCGTCGAACCGGCGCTGAATATTCCGTTGTTGTTTTTATGTACGCCTCCTGTTGTCGCCGGCTATCGGTTGTCCTTTTCCTCGTTCGATGTTTATCTCTAGCCAGCTCAGGCTACAACACGGTGGCAATCAAGCATTCCCACAGTGGCACGGGCGCTGACGGGCGGACCAGATTAATAAAATTCGGTCCCTGTCCCATAATACAAAAGTATTCTAGCTAAATAGTTAAATGAAATGTGCCGTCAGCCCTGTGGTCCGGGTGTCACTTTATGATATTGTGATCAGGAGCAAGACGACAGGGCTGCATAGAACCGGGGCGTCGTGATGTGTTGCGCGTGCGTCGTACAATGATCATGCTGAGCAGCTTTGCCGGAGCGTGAACAGGTATCCTAAGAACCTGGCAGGTAGGACACTGGGCCTGGAAAAACTCCAATATACGAACTCGAACATCTATTCTTTTGTGAACCCTGTGCAGAGCCCCGGCACTATAACCCATACGACCGTCGTCGCTGTCAAGCCCGCATGTGTGCATACACCAATAGTGGCGAACGTTCAGGTTGAAGGTCCACCAGCCTCTTCTCACATGCTGCTTGTGCTTGCTTTTCTACCCTTGGCTTACGCAATAGTGACTTCAAGCTCTCGTCGACATTGTGTTGTTTCGAAACCTGCCGTAACCCGTCTTCTTTCGTCTGTCAAACCCTTTCTTCTCGTGCAGCCTGGCAGCCATGGCGGCGGCAGCGGTGGGAGTGTTGGCGGTGTTGATAGCGGCGATGGCGCTGCCGGCGCCGACATCCACGGGCAGCAAGAGTCGCCGGTGACGTTCACGAGAAACGCCTTCGTGGCCGAGCAGCTCAAGCACCTTGCGAGGGCCGTCAGCAGCATCCCATCGTCCCCTGCGGTGGGACAGGAAGTGGGGTGGTGGGGAGACAGAACAGCCGGGGGCGGGGGAGACAACAACCCGCACATGGGCAGCGCGCCACCCGTGTTCTTGCTTCAGTCCCCCGCCTCGCACCTCTATCGGCAGCTCCGATCGACGCCATCCACAGCGAGCAACACCGAGGCTTCTGGGAGCTCCTCTCGGCCCCTGTCCCACTCTGGAGGCGCTGCTTCGCCCAACGAGAGAGCTGCCGCCGCTGCCGGCGCGGCAGGCACTTTGGATGCAACCACCACGCCCCCTCGCCTTGATTCGGCATCAACGTCGGGGGGAATCCTGCAGTCGCCCGGGGGAGAACGGGGTGCCGGGGCGGCGGCACCGACCGCCTTGGCGGCTGGTTCGGCCGCAGGAGGCGGCGGCGCCGGTGGCCCTGGAGTCCACGCCGCTCCTTCGCCCGCTGGCCCTCCCGGCATCGGCGGTGCTGAGCGCGAGGCGTCCTGGTCTCAGGGATCGACGGTCCAGGAGTACCTCGTCGCCCAGCTGCAGCAGCTGTCGCAGCTACTGGACTCGCCGCCGCCGCGTCGGGAGGCGGGGCCGAAGACCGGCTCGACGCTTCCAGAGCTGGCGGTGGCCGTGGCACCCGAAGAAGAACGGCGCAGGAGCGGAAAAAGGAGCTTGGAGAGGGCGGGCAGCGGCGGGAGTTCCCTGCAATACTCGCTGTCGACCGCGTCCTCGAGGTCCGGTAGCCCCTTCTCGCTCGACGGGACGACGGCAGCGATGGCTGTGACAGCGGCCAAGAAGGCGTCCCGTGGCAGCGGGAGCGAAGGCGGCGGCGGCGAAGGCAGCGGCGAGTCTAGCAAAATCGACGTGGAGGGCGTAGAGCCAGTGTCAAGTTCGACCACGCCCTCCGCGTTGTTCTCGGCGGGGAGGATGGTAACAACGCCGCTGTGGCCGCCGCCGGTGCCTCGGGGAGCGGCCGCCCCATTCGAAGGCGGTGGACTCGCTGCGGCCTCTCTCCGACCGGCGGGAGACGCACGATCTCCACCAGGAGGCGGAGCCGGCAAGGTCAAGGAGGGCGAGCGAAAATCTCCCACTTCGGTATCGCCGCCTCCAATGGTGTCCCCGGTTCCCGAAAGCGCCGTCGGCAACAGGTACGGCGGCGCCGGGCTGCCTTCGGCGGCGGGGGTGCGACCGGGGACGAGAGTCTCATCCAGCGCGGCGGTCCGGGAGGGTAACGGCTACAAGGACGTCGAAAATGGCACCGGCAGCGGCGGCGTGACCGCGGACGGCGTGGGCGACGACGGAGGGCGGCCCGGCAGGGAAAGGTCGACGTCGGCTGCGGCTTCGTCGGCCGCGGCTTCGACTGGCCACATATGGAGCATGAGGTCCGTCCGGGAAGGGTCGGAGGAGAGTGGCGTGCTTCATCCCACGAGGAGGCGGTCCTCGTACAGGAGCAGGAGCGGGGCTTCCCACCGCCTCACGGAGGCGTTCGGGCGGGCCAAGCTCTGGCGGCGCATGCTCGACTCGGAGTCGCGCACGGGGAGCGCCGTCATGGCCGGGATAGAGGACGAGAACAGGGGGGCGCTGGAGCAGGGGCTTGTGCTGCCGTGCGCTCCCTCGGACGAAGAAAAGGTAAATCCGCAGCAGCATGGTTCCCACAAGCTGCACCAGCACACAAGAACAATGGTATGATTGCGTTCGCTACAAGCGGACGTCGCACGTCTGTTGCTGCGCTGCCGCTTGCATGCAGACGTCTTCAAATGTGTTCGTAGTCAGCGGAAGTCTATACTAACGCTACCGTCTCCCGGGGGGCGACGCAGACTTGTTCTATGCGAGATGAAGTGGTTCGTGGGGCCAAGAGATTCCCAAGGTTGCAGTTCTTATTTCCTCTTGAGCGGGCTGCCTGTGTCTCACAGCGGCCGCTCCAAGCACGCCGCCGCAAAAAACACCTAAACCACAAGTGACCGTCGCCGTCGGTCGCGCGGGCAACGAGCGGCTTGTCTTAACTCGCCGCCGTTTGGACCCTGTATGTGGCTTCCTGCGGACCTGTCGGGGACTTCCCATGCGACGTGCAGAAGTAGCAGACTAGGTATCTCGCTTGAGGAGGGTAAGCCACCCGACGAGACTTGGCCTGGGTTAGCCGTAAATCTTCCACGTGACTCATAACCTCACCAAGTTGGGGTGAGCCAAAAAAAAATTGGATGCTGCCAGATTTCTGTGGTGGTAAGCCTCCCTGGCTGGCCCCTGCTCGTTCTTGCGGAGACGCTACCGATGAAACACCACAGCTTCCCCCAACCGTTTGTTCCATTGCGCGTTTCTCTCGCTTTTCCTTGTTGTTTGGCTGTTGACAGTGATGCGGGAAAACATTGCATTAATACGGAAGTTGGCACGCATGTTGCCGATTTGTTGAGTAGAGGGCAGAAAAACGTATGTAACGATCTCTGAAAGCAATGGGACGTGTGCCACTCACCGTATGTCTCCGTTTCCTCCACCTCTCTCTCTTTCTCTCTCTCTTTCTCTCTCTCTCTCTGCCTCTCTGTCTCTGGGTCTCGCTGTGTGTCTCCCTCTGTCTGTGTCTATGCATGTGTCTCTGTGTCTCTCTCGCTGTCTCGCCCGCGCGCTCTGTCTCTGTGTCTCTCTCTTCTCTCTCGTGGTCTGAAAAACAATTAACAGGTGATCTACCACAAGACCGGCAGGTGTTTCCTTGTGACCGCTGGCGTCGTTTCGGTAGGCGCTTTGTCCGCGGGCATGTGGCTCTTCACGTTCGCGGCCCCCTTCTTCTACTGGTTTGCCGCCCCGACGGCCTTCATCATGGGGTACCTCTTGCTCTCTTGTGAGTTTGGTCAAGGGTCAGCGGTCCCACGCTACCCCTATCGATGTTGCTACCTTATGCGTTTCACTACCCCCCCCTCTAATGTACCGGTTAGCCACCGCTTTACGCTTAACGCTACGCATGCAAATCGGGGTGCTATGTTCTCTTCCGAGTTTGCCTAAACACGGAACGCATGGAGAGAGCTTCGCGTCCAGCAACGGGCGCATTGTTGTTGGTCGTTGAGTTCTGCACGGTCGATGCTGCCGGAAAGTGCATGCGTGCACTGTTCTCGGGCACGAGACTATGGTCATCCATCCCCGAGTTGAACATTTGTTGTTACCCGCCACATGTCCCCGTTAAATATAGTGTAGAGCATCGTCACGATGGTGTTCTTTGTTTTATCTTCCCTGAGTGGGCGGTGGCAGCCTCGACTGGCCACGTTTCATCTTGAGACAACGCTGGTTGTGGACCGGCCTAAGTAGTGGACCGATTCCCGGCAGTCGTGCGGTATTGATCCCTGCCTCGAAACGTCCGGAATAGGGAGGGGACACGTCGAGAGGCGAAGAGAGGACAACACCCCATATTGATGAGCGTAGCACAAAAGCGTACGTTTTCTGCGGTAGCAAGCACGAGCGCCGTAGAACGCGCTCGATTGCCATTTTTGCGTTCGATCAAGTGTTGCCAACGGATCGAAAATTTCACGTGATCCATGTCAACATACCACACACCAACAGGCAGCTATGAGCACGAATGCTCCCCCCCCCCCCCCCCCCCCC